TTCAATTTTTTCTTGATTTTAAGAAGAAGATGAAGTTACAAATCCCATATGTTGGTTTGTGTATCAAAGGCTGCACTATTTTCTTTTTCTTTCCGTATCTCTTGTTTTAGACCACACGTATTTATGGATAAATGAAATTTATAAAAAAATTAATCAAAATTCTAAATTTTGACCTAAAATTTGAAGTAGACCATTTACAGTTGTAAAAACTTATCTTTATAAAAACAAAATTAACATAAGAAGAATATCCACTTTAGACTGGCAATATCCTCTTTTATACAGATGAATATTACGTGTGTAGAGGAGATATTTGTAAATTTAAAGTAGGTACCCCAGCAAAATGTGTCTGGCTGACGAATACTACTAATGCAGCAATTGTCTATTAGCAGGGGCGCGATTTTTAGCACGGTGAATCCGTTCAAAGCAACATTGGTTATATGAAAGCAGTACGCCAACAACGTAACCAAAACAACAACGCAAGATGTCGCAACGACATTAAAACAATAAAATAAATTTGAGAATAGAGGTAAAGGTCATATTAAATATAGCCGAGTAATAATTAAATGCATTTTCCACATAAATTAAAGAGCAGAAAAATTACGTTTTTAGTCTGATCGACGCCGGTCTTCTTACATCGCCGGGCCCCAGTAAGGTGTACCGCCCTATCCGTGGGCCTGGGTAGAGCTGGAAAATTAAATTTACTTTAACAATAGCTTCTTCTTCGCGTGCCATATCAGAATTATCCAACGTTAGCGATCACCATTGCAAAGACTTCTCGATCTTCTGCAATATGAAATAATTGTCCCGCATTTAATATCCGAGTCCGTTCCATACACGAATGTTCCTCAACCAAGAAACCCGTTTCTTTCCTACACCTCTACGGCCTCTATTTTACGTTTAATGATCAGTTGTGATATTTTATATCGACTTCCCCTTACTATAAGAAAAGCTCGAGGTTCTTCAGGTAATGTATTTGGAAAGAGATGACCAGGGAGAAGAGTATGCTGGCTTCAAGTTCAAAACGTGAGAAACATGGATATGGAACAGTATGTAGAGATATCTCTGATGTAGAGCTAAGTAACGACACCAACTTTTTTTTCGTTGTTTGTTTTGTCTGTGTCTTACATCAAGTAAGTCTATTTTGGTGGGAGAGAGAGAGAGCGACAGATCGAACAACTGCAAGAGATCTTGTCATCAGTACCGGCGGCCGGAATGCTCGATATATGCATAGAGATATATATTAACACTATATATACGTCTCATAGATGTATAGAACATGGTTTAATACGTTTACAACTGGATTATTCCGAATAATTGCAAGCAAAGTTAGGATCGCCAACACACACACCGTAAAAAGAAGAAGAAGTTGCTGAACAATGCAAAATTTTAGACATTTGTCATTTCTGTCACCTTTTGTTTAGAAATCAATTCTGTCAATGTCATGTGCGCCGTGCGGTAAATGTCACTCACTGCCAGTTATTAGTTATTGTTAGTTGTTTCTATACATTCTAGTCAAATTTTACCATTTTAATAAAAATGAGTGATTCAAGCAGTGATGAAAATGAACCAACTCACGTTTTATATAGAGATAGACCGGATTGGAAAGATGTAACCCCTGTAAAACAAAATGATGCTGGTGAACCAGTTGTAGCCATTGATTATACTGAGTCTTGTAAGATAACCTATAAAACATTTTAAACAAATATTAATCTTTGCAATTTTCTAGTTGTGGATTGTTACGACTATTTTCGCGCAATTGTACAAAACAAAGAAATATCAGAGAGAGCACTTGAATTAACTACAACCGCTGCAAGTTTAAATCCTGCAAATTATACTGTATGGCAATACAGGTAACACAAGAGTATATTATATATGTTTTTATTCATCTTTGTTGTAATACAGTTATATTCATTCTATATATTTTGGTTTTGTGTCAAAGTAATCTGTGTTTTTCAACTTTTGTACTTGTTTTAATAATTTTTAAATTTATTATTTTTAGGCGTGATATTCTCAAAGGATTAAATAAAGATCTTCACGAGGAATTAGATTATATTGAAAAAGTAATTTTTAGACAATCTAAAAATTATCAAGTTTGGCACCATAGGAAACTTCTCGTGGAATTACTGCAGGATCCTACAAAAGAAAAACAATTTACAGAGGCTGTTCTTGTTAAGGATGCTAAAAATTATCATGCTTGGCAGCACAGGCAGTGGGTTATTAAGACATTCAAGTAAGTTAAATTTAGTATTGGTAATAGGAATATATTAAAAACAACATTATTTGGTTCAAAAATATCAGGTAATTCCACATTCATAATATGAAGTACAGTCAAAATCATTTACGACACCAGCTATAGAATACAATCGGATGTAACAAACAAAATAGTAGGTCCCATAAAATTAAATACAAAAAACACATTTGCTTATAATGAACAAATTGGCTAGAGCAAACATATTTCTTGGAACACTATCAGTTAAAATATTGGTTTCAAGTACATATCTGTACCTCAGATGATACAACATCCATTTTTTTTTTCAATTATGACATTTTTACACACTGTATAATAAATAATTATAACCAATGCATGATGTAAATGACAGTAGATATAATGTCCACATCTTAATAAATAAGTTTAAAAGTGCTATCCTGTAAAGTTATGAAAATGGACATTGTAATGTTGTATTTCTTACAGTTATTACCAATATTTAGTACCACGAAATGAGAAGTAAGGATCCGGGCAGTCATCTACACTTGATTACTTGTCCTTTAGACATTTAGACCTCCCAAGACAGGTCCATTGTAATACAAAATTTTGTTTATATTACACCATTTGGCCACCAGTTTCTGAATTTGAATTCAGTTGTCTCTAGCCTTCATAGAAAACATGTCACGGAAGCAATTTACTATTGAGGAACTGTTTGGAATAATTTGCCGAATTGATTACAGTGATTCCGCGAGTTCGATTGTCTGGGAATTTAAAACCTCACGCTCACCAATTGCTGGAATGATGAAACGGCGATAGAAAATTATTATGCAATTTAATAAGCGTGAAAAAGGAAAACGCGTTCGGCCATGAAATCATAGTGACATTGAAAGCGCTTTGCTCAATTATTCAAACAACAACGTGCAATGTACCCGTGAGTGGGCCCATGCTTCAGGTAAAGGCTGACTGTTTCGCTGTGATTTTGAAGAAGGATTTTAAGTGTAAAGCTGGATTTATAGTTTGACGTACTGTAGACGTAGACGCACTGGAGACGTAAGAAACGGACTGTAAATATTTTTTCAATTTATAAATGGACGTAGTGGAATTTTTGCGCATGAGTAAAGACAAGAATTGGTGACCCACAACATTCAATATAACCTATAAATTATACAATTATAGGAATCAGAATTCATAATAAACAAAGGGTGTGTGTTTATACTATTGTTTATTATAATATTTTTTTTTTTATCCTTTTTGCGTGTTAGAATGGATTGTGAAATATACGAAGGTATGCTCCTTGGCGCTGTAGGATTGCTGCTGTGTGCAGTAGCATTGCAAAAAACTAGAAGGCAATAATAAGGCGACCAAGACGTTATAAAACAAGACCAATAAACCGTAATAGAAAAATAGAGAATGCTTATAATTATTTTTTAAAGATGAAGACAGAAGATCCAGATCAATTTTTGGCATATTTCAATATTGGTGCAATGAACATAACCCATTCTTTCTTTTGATTGGTCAGACGTAAGAAACGCACTGTAAAAGTTGAAAGTTGACCAACTCTTCCGTTACAGTGCGTTTCGCTTACGTCCCGTCTTGCGTTTACGTTCATTTATAAATAGGAGTACACAAAAGTCTATGTTGATCTTTTTCCAGTGCGTCTGCGTCTACAGTCCGTCAAACTATAAATCCAGCTTAATGCTTCCTGGGTTCAATGTTTCCGAGCTCGCCACAATATTGTCTATGAAAAAATTTCAGGTGAGTCAGCAGTTGTTGACAGATCAATTACAAATGACTGGGTTGAAAATGTGTGGCCTACACTCAGATCCGGCTATAGCAATGATGAAATTTTTAATGCGGATGAGATGGGGTTATTTTTTAGATTGACACCTGATCACACGTTAAAGTTTAAAGGGGACAAATGTTCCGGTGGTAAACTCTAAAACTTTCAAATTACAGTTCTTGTTGCAGCCAATATGTCCGGTTCTATAAAAAGGAAGCTTTTGTTGATAGGAAAAAGTAAAATGCCATGCTGTTTTAAAAACATGAAAAATCTGCCAGTTGATTACGATTTGAATAAAAAAGCCTGGATGGTGTCAGCTATTTTTGAAAAGACTTTAATACAATGGGACAGCGAACTTATATAACAAAAGAAACACATAATTTTAATTGTCAACAACTGTCCGTCCCACCCCCCAGTTGACAGGCTAAAACAAATTAAACTCATTTTTTTGCCTCCAAATTGTTTTAAAATTATTCTATATCGCTCTTATTCTATCAAATCATTTTAGGCTTTTTGATGGGGAACTAGATTATGTTGATGATTTAATAAATGATGATATTAGGAATAATTCTGCCTGGAACCAAAGATATTTTGTTATTAATAATACTACAGGATTCACAGAAGAGGTTCTTGAAAGAGAAATTGAATACACATTGCAGAACATAAGACTTGTTACTGAAAATGAAAGTGCATGGAATTATTTAAGAGGGTAAGTAAAAATGTTGATAACTACCATAAATCCAAAAAAAATATCTTGGACATTAGTTAACCATAAAAGTTTATATCTTACAAAGTATACAAAATAATTGATACAAAAGAGATTTACACTTCTTTTTAATGAGCAACATTTTAATATGTCTATTGCAATCATTTGACTTAGAAACCTACAGTAAGTCTACTGAATTCTGTTACAAAACTTCAGCAAACTATTATTAATATTTTGGCACTACTTATATGGTAAATATCTTAATATTTAATGAAAGTAACATTGTTTATTAAAGCCATTTATCAGAAAAAATCATTATTTTGTTCTGTAGGTTCTTATCTGACATGATGCAAAGATGAAAATGAACAATTTTACTTATATCTGCTTTTTGTTAAAACAAAACAAATTTTTAGAGTTCCATTAGCAAGTATTCTCTCTCTGTATGCTAGCATACCAAGTAGTGCTTTTGATCTGATTTTGGATCACATTAGTATGTTCAGGAGCTCTCTAGAAATTTGAGGGGATTGGCACATGTCTCCATAAATGTGTTTCCATATCATTTTAGCCTAAATCTATTTAAATAGGGAGGATTATTTAACAGTTTATAATTAAAATTAATTAGTTTTTACATTTTGAAAGTATCTTTGTTATCAGGTCCATTGTCCTTATAAAAGAAGGTTTTTATGTAAACTGAACCTTTTCTCATAAAGTTTGTCTCACTTAGCTGAAAGTCATGTTTTGTTTTTTTTAACCGTATTTTGACAAATTTTGAGCAAACTTCATGTTTTCGTTTTCGAAAAAACTCAAAAAGACTATTTTTTCTAAGTATAAAGGGGGAAAACCAGACATCCAATTTTGTTGTGGAAAATATTTGCAATAAAACATCTTCTTCTTCTTCTAGTTCCATGACCGTTATCGATCGTTGGATATCATGTTGGCTACCATATTTGCTATTGTGACTTTATTGACAGCAGCTCTAAATAACGATGTAGTTGATTTTCCATACCATTGCCTTAGATTTTTCAGCCATGATGTTCTTCTTCTACCAGGACCACGATTACCTTGGATCTTTCCCTGAATGATCAGATGTAAAAGATCATATTTTTCAGGGTGTCTCATAATATGACCGAAGTATTCCAGCTTGCGTTTCTTTATTATATTGACCAGTTGTGTTGTTTGGTTCAGCCATCTAAGGACCTCCTCATTTCTAACTCTGTCGACCCAGCTTATTTTGAACATAGAATATTTTTTCTTAAACATATGAAACATTTCATTAAACAAGAATTATATCTTGAACTGCCGCCATCAAATTGTATAGTAGAGAGATGGCTCCATCTGAAACATGGGAATATTTGACATTGATAAATAGCATTACTTTCAGTGTTGAAACGCTTCAAACGAATCGTCATACTAACAGATTACAACAAGATTTAATAAGAATGTTATCGGTTTGAATTTTAACTGACATGCTGAAACTTACAGAAGAGTAGATACTGTACTATCTACAAGTAATATATCTATAAAAAACATTTAGTTTTTAAAAACCTATTTAGGCGTTTTTAGTTAATTATTTTAGTATTTATAAACAATAGTGTTCCTTGCATAACATATTAGTGGTAATTTTTATACCAGTATTAGTTTTTCTTAAGGAATTAATTTGTCAACTTGCATTTTAAATCTTGTTTCTCTTAATTTCTTAAAAATCTCTTTAAGATTTACTATGTGTTCTTGAAGAGAGGTTGAAAATACAATCATGTTGTCCATGAAAACTAGACATATTTCTCCTATAAGTCCTTTTAGTACATTCTCCATTACTCTCTGGAATGTTGAGGGTGCATTTTTGAGTCCGAATGGCATTCTCATATCTTCTTCCTCCATTTCAATTTGATAGAATCTGCTGGCTACATCAAGGGTGGAAAAGTATTGGCAGTGACCTAGTTTGTCCAGAGTGTCTGTTATATTTGGAATTGGATATTGGTCATCAATGGTTTTCTCATTCACCTTCCTGTAGAGTGTAGTCTACAAGTATTAGCCATTTAATTTTTCCTGGGGCATTTGGTTTCTTTGGAATGGCCCACATTGGGGATGACGAGGGCGATTGACTCGGTCTGAAGATTCCTTGATTGAGCATCCTTATGGATGTGTGGATACCGATTTGACTTGGTATAAACTGGAACTTCATCTTTGGTTTGTATAGGTGTTTTATTTGGTTAATAAATGTTAATGGACTTTCTGGATAATCAGATATGCATGATGCAAACTTCCTGCACTGTCATCTTAGGTGAGATTCTTCTTCTGTATTAAAATGATCAGTTCTTAGGAGAGGATCGATGTCTCTTAGATTTATTGGTTGACTTTTTATGTGATCTTTTAGTGCTACTTTGATATATTCATCGGTGTTAAAGATTAGCTCGGTCCAGGTAAATTGATTATATGCGACGGTGCCAGTTTCTCTTAGGATGACACCTTCCACTTCTTGTCTTGCGATGACGATTTTAGCTGATGTTTCTTTTACTGGCAATTTGACTTGTGTAATTGTTTAGGGCTCTTGGTGGACTGTATAGAATTGGGCTTTATTAATCTTATTTTAAGATTAAGACCATCAAATGTCTTGTTAAATTTGAAAAGATAAAATTTTAAGTTAATATCCGAGTTAAATTCGGGAAAAATTGGAATTTCTACACAATAACCTTCTGAATGATTTTGAAAAATTGATGTAACTATAAGTGGTTCATATTTAATATTATTTTTGTAGAATTTATTGGCAATATCAGGATTAAGGAAATATTTAGTGGCTCCTGTATCAATAAGAAATTTAAGAGGAGGATTTTGAATTTTAATGTAAGGAAACTCTCTTTTGTCACCATAGGAATACAATTCTACTACGTTTCTTCTTTTTTTTTTTAAATTTTTGAAAATGTACATCTTCGTCCTAATATTCTTGGATTTTGTTAGTAAGAGTAATCTGGCTATGTATCTATATACCTTCATCATAATTGCTCTTGTTCGATATTAAAGAGCTCTTCTACGGTGAATCGAGGGGTGGCTGTTTGTTGAAAGCCGATGTTTCTTTGAGATTGGTGTCTATTGCCGGTTTGGCGTGTGGATACACTTATCGGCTTATATGATTGAGACAGATCTGGCTGGTTTATGAAAATTGGGTTGGTTAGTTGTAGAATTTTATGCATATTGAGTGATTTTTGAGCAAATTTTGTTGGAATCTAGAGAGTTAAAATGTCCCTCTTGGACTATTGTTGAATGGCTGTTGTTGCAAAGGCATTTGATTTGTCCTAAAAATGGTTGTGGCAAATTTTAGACAAAGATTTATTTCATTGACGGCCAGTATTACAGCTGTGTGCAGAAATAATTTCTCTGGCTCTTCCTTTAATTTTGTTCATAATTCGAGTCACCTAGGACTCAATAACATGGAAAGAGTTCCACCAGAGCTCAATCCTTTTGATACCGTAGATACCTGGGATGAGTGAATTTTCCCGCTAGAGGGAGTGTAAGCTGTATGGCTAAATCAGGATAATAATACTTAAAAGCAAACTTAATTCCAAGCACATTGTAAAAGCAATAAACACATACGCAATACCACTTTTCACATACTCATTTGGCGTTATAAAATGGTCGAATACTGAAACTGAATAACTGAATAGACCAAATAGAACCGTGCTAACTAAAAACGCCTCAACCACACCAAACACATCCAACGCATGACACCACCACTTACACAAGGCGGGAGAAGAACGGGGTGTTTTGGAAATATCACCCACTACTTAAAGATAAAAAAACAAAGACAAAAAATATATACAGCAACAATTAGACCGATGATAGCATACGGAGCGGAAATATTATGTGTTACGAAAAAAAGATGAAGAAAAAGTAAGAATTATTGAAAGAAAAATTATAAGAATACACAGCCCAATAAAGCCAGAACAAGGCTATATAGAAGACTAATGAAGCATGAAATAAGAAATAGAAATATAACTGAAGAGGAAGACATATTCAAATTTATTAATCCACAAAGACTGAGATGGTTTGGACACATACAAAGAGAAGAAGACTCACTAATTAGGAAGATAAAAAACCTGAAACTAGTAAAAAAACACCAAAAGGAAGACATGTTCGCATATTTTAAAAAACATTTTTGGCGATTGACCATTCATAATATAATTCCCACCAAAATATTAAATAATACCAGATCATTTAATTTTTAACTATCAATAAAAATGTAATATATGATAACCCATATAAATTTAATGGTAATACGATATTCACAGATATCTCAGCATAATTACCTACATCTTTAGATAATATGAATCATGTTTCAATGATATGTGTGGATGGAACTTTATTGTTCTAATAAATAACTTTGTTTATTTGGTATATTATATTACGATTGACAAAGCAGAACAGTAAAATATTTTACTATTATACATAAAGATGTTGTTATAATTCGTCTACCGAACAGACGGAGTAATAAAAATGCGTGATCTGCACGTGATTGTTGAAAAGCGACAGTCAAATTACTTACTTCGCAGAAGTTGTATCGGTCAGTTATCGGTATTGCATACAAGGGCGTACGTTAAGGTATTTTGAAGAAATATTGTGCTGTGTATTGTGTTATTGTTTTAATTGTATTTATTTTATATGTTAAGACTTATATTGTGTATTGTACATTTTTGTGTTTTGTAAATAAATTAGGTAAGTACATATACTAATACAGATATTGGTCAAAAAACTATTGTCTATGTAATCACGCAGTATAAAAATGTATAAATTATTTCTGAACCTGAGAATATTATATTAAAAAACAAGTTAGTCAAAGCGTAAAAATAATTTGTAAAATAAATATCTATATCACTGCCTTATTTTAGATATGGATAACCAACAGCAAAATAATGCGCAAGTTGAACAATTCGTTCCAGAATCTCCACCCAGAAAACGAAGACGAACACATTTATCGGTGTCAGAGAAAGAAACAATTTTAAATATTTTTA